ACAGAAAGGCTTGCAGGAGGAACAGAAAGGCTTGCAGCAGCAACAGAAAGGCTTGCAGCAGCAACAGAAAGGCTTGCAGCAGCAACAGAAAGGCTTGCAGCAGGAACAGAAAGGCTTGCAGCAGGAACAGAAAGGCTTGCAGCAGGAACAGAAAGGCTTGCAGCAGGAACAGAAAGTAGAAACACACTGAGACAAACTCACACTAAATGGAAGACAAAGCAGGGTATAAAAACACAGAGCCTAGCGAGCTAACAAGACACAGGTGATCAGCTGGTGAAGCAAATCAGCCATAAGGTAACGAGGAAGAGGGCGGGGCAGACACGAAGGGGCAATGAAAACAAAAGCACATAGACCGGGGAAACAAATACACACAAAACTAACTCACAGACTAACAATATCAGTGGCAATACTGAAGCCAGACACTGTAATTACTGTGGTCTGTCAAAGGGAACAGAGGTAGGCAGTATATTAACTCTTTGTGGAGCTTTTTTCCTGTGATTGACTATATAGTTTCTGTGTTCAGTGCCTTTATTAGGAGGGGAAACCTCTCTCTCCACCCCTGCTGTGTCTCTGACCGTCATGGATACTGCTGGGGTGGATCGGGAGACGGGAGGGGCTGAGGTCTGAGAGAACACAGGAAGCTCGTCTACAGGGGAGGGGCTTCATTCTACAGTGGGAGGGGCTCTGAGGCTGTTTTCTCTGGGGTCCCTGTCATTAAAATATCTCCGGGCTTATATAAAATATCTCCCTCCACTGCTGAAAAACTACACTGCCTGCTCAGTTAAAGAGGATGTGTTGCATCCAGCTGTCTAATGAATTGGCTTTTGAAAGGATATTACACACAGCACTATGGCAAAAGAGTGATATTCCCTAAGAGTGAGTGATAAAAGAGTGATGTCCCCTCAGAGTGACTGATAAAAGAGTGATACCCCCTCAGAGTGACTGATGAAAGAGTGATATTCCCACAGAGTGACTGATAAAAGAGTTATATTCCCTCAGAGTGTCTGATAAAAGAGTGGTATCCCCTCAGACTGACTGATAAAAGAGTGGTATCCCCTCAGACTGACTGATAAAAGAGTGATATTCCCTCAGAGTGACTGATAAAAGAGTGATATCCCCTCAGAGTGACTGATGAAAGAGTGATATTCCCTCAGAGTGACTGATAAAAGAGTGATATTCCCTCAGAGTGATCATCCTACACACAACTGATTTGCAAGATATTTAACCACTGGTTATGGCGTTTCATAGTCTGTCAGGGATTTCATAAGAAAAATGAAACAGTATCCATCTCATGAATACATACATAAAGTTGTGGGCCAGTGAAATGACTGACAGCACACAGCACAAACTCATGGGCCCAGAGCTGCTTACTTATCTAATGTATTCAGCTCCAGCCAGCCCTCAACCAATCAGAGCACAGCATGCAGATTAGCCAGGACATACTCCAGGACATACAACTGGAGTGCAGGGCTCGCATGGAGGAACAGACAGAATGAGCCTTTGCAGAGGGGGAAAGAAGCAGGTCAGGAAATGAAACAAAAGTGGGCCAAGTGACAGTAGAACACCTGCAGTGTCTCTCAGAGGGAAGACCTCTGCTGAAGCTTCCCATGTCAGAGCAGACCATGTAGGAGCTGGAGGAGACAGGCAGATAGTCAGGCAGGTATCAGCTCTTGTGCTGTTTGACCCTGAGAGGCGTGTCAATTTGCTTCTTGTAGTTCAAGTCAAACTGTCAAACTGTAAAATCAAAATGGAGTTATCTTGTTTGCCAGATATTTTAAAATAATCAAATATGTTAACAAGAAAGTCGCATATGACCATGTTCAGATATAGGATGCCTATCGATATCGATCTTAATGCTACACGTAGTGATAGTTAACCTATGTTGGTATCTAACTTTACCATCAGCAGATGAAAACTACAATTGAATTGCACATGCCCAAATTATCTGAATTACAGAATCTGCATCTCTGCCGTCAATTTGCGTGGTTAGGCAGATTTTAGAAGCCAAGTCTGACCGTAGCATAAGGATGCGGAAGCATAGCTGCTGAAGACAGATGCTTGTGTGTCGTCCTCAGAGGCTACAGACCAGGTTGCACAAATATAACCTCAGCTAGAACAAAGTGGCACAACTATAAAGGGTAATGTAATTTTATGCCACTGATGGTCAAGAGAGGAATTACATCTACAAAATCACTCAAACCACAACAAACTTTGTCCCTCCCCCTTCTCTGTGACTGCACTGCCTGAGCTGGTTTTATGATCCTATACTATGGCGGTATCAAATAAATATTTAACAGCAAATGATTTTACAATAACACAGCTATGCCCCCAAAAACTAAACTAAGGTCAGTATAACTGCATTTAGTTCATGCATGCAACACAAAATCAATGCAAATATGAATATGAACAAATCAATAATGAGCTAGCACTTTAAAACGCATCCTGCCTCATAACACACTCTCGACTGTGCCAGCCCTCTGCCCACAGGGGCTCTCACTGGACCAGGGGCAGAAGAGCGATGCTGTCCTTGTACACATCACTTACCTGCCGTCATTCCTGCAGCCCTGACTGCCTCCTGTCACAGTAAGAACCTGCACAAGTGCTCACAGTAGACCACATCCGCCACTGTAGGCCTGCGCTATGCCTCCCAGTGCCTGTTACTCACTGAAATGTGCGATTCTTTGAGCCTCATTTTTACTGAAACGTTGAGTATGGGGTACAAAGAGTCTCACACACTGAGGATCCCTCCCTCAATATTAAGGTTGCCATTAAAAACAGGACGGGGGGGCAGTTGTTCTGGGGGCTGCAGTGGGTGCATTCAGGGGAGGGGAGGGATTTTGGTCCAGATTTCCTTCTCACAAAAATATTTAATTATACCAAATATTAAATGCTATTTTTTTTTTATCTCACACATTCTCAATATTTCTAAACTTTGCTGGGATGAAAAAGGAGAGCATGTCTGGTAAGAACATGAATCAAGAGCTAAGAGTCTGGTAAGAGCTGAATCAGTGTCAGTCCCTGTGGGGTGGAGCCAGAACGCAGCGACCCTGTCAGCGTGAACTGAAGGACTGCCCAGCCCAGCGCTCCTGCCCTCATCCCAGCCGAACAAAGAGGTCTGGTTCAGTCCACATCTGGCGGTCGGTCCATCGGGTGCTGAGGGTGTGGCCTAAGACTGCACGACCCGGGCAGGCTTTCACACAGTCATTTCATATACACTAATAACCTTCTAACCCAAAGGTCAGGCAAAATACATGGACTATGCTACATTAGCATCAGTCTTTTTTCTCTCTTTGTTCACTCTTTCTGAACTCATCAAAGCCTTGGGCAAATTCAGCAGCTGTTATTGGGTGACCACTAGGGTGTCCGTGATTACAGGAATGTAAATGACTGGTCTGACCCCTGCTCAGTGCTGTGATTTAGAGGACACAGGCAGGGCACAAGTACGTACGTGATTCTGTAAATAATATTTTATCAATGAATGAAAAGGCCATGTGGCTCTGTAAATCATGTTTTATCAATGAATGAAAAGGCCATGTGACTCTGTAAATCATATTTTATGAATGAATGAAAAGGCCATTGGAGTGATCTTATTTTCTGTAGGGATATGTCGTGTTCAGTCTGTCTGATGGGTGGGGGCGAAAAAAATAAAAAAGGCACCTCCTGTCATCAAAGCTAGGATGTTGTTTCCCTTTTTGACCACCAGAGGTCCTTATGTCTTCTTGCAGCCTTGCTATGTATTCTGATTGTTAATTGTCTCCACCTGTTCCCTCTTTACCCTCATATATTTCAGTTTTGTCTTTGTCAGTCTTCAAGTCAGTCTACCTTGTGTGTTACCTATTGACCAAGCCTTGCTACTTTGTGCATCTTTGTTGGACTGCTATTCAGTGTTTGTGGACTATCTGTCTGTTTTTGGATTATGCTTTTGGATTTTCCCATTGGATTTGTCTGCTAATTTTTCAACAGCTATTGGTTTCACACCACTTCTGGGTAGTCTAGTGGCATATCTTGTGGTCTCCACACAGGGGAAACCACAAGATATACCACAGAAAGACTAAGCCAGTAAAATGTACCCAGCAGAGGAATCCAGTTCTCACTGGCCAAGCCGTAGCTTGGGCAATTGCTTTTTGGGAGCAGGAGAATCCCATCTGTCCTTCCTGTGGAGTTTGTGCTGAGGAAATGTGGCATATCTCTGCCAGTGGTCATGAAGTTGCTTCCCAGCTTCTTCAGCTTCATCAGGGAAATTGCAGTACAGCTGGACACTAGTAGCAGAGAGTTGGTGGAATCAAGAGGCTCTGGTAGCTGCTTTCCATAATGGCCTTTCTGACCCCATCAAGGACAATCTGGCTTCCTGTGAGTTGTCTGGGGAGTTAGAGAAGCTAATTTCAGTATCCCCATGAAATAACATCCCTCTTGATGTTTTGGATCATGGTCTGCAGTTCTCTTCCTGTTTCTGGCCGGCATTCTGTACGCTGCCAGATCGGCTAGCAAGATCAGCCAGCCTGTCATCGTATTTCCATCCACAGTCCAATGGGCAGGCTGAGAGGACCAATCAGGATCTGGAAACCGCTTTGAGGTGCCTGGTCTCCAGTAACCCCACTTTGTGGAGCTTGCAGATTCCATGCTACTGGCATATCACCCTTCAGGTGTCAGTTTGGGTACCAGCCCCCCTTGTTTCCTGTTCAGGAGCCATAGGTAACTGAATGTGGAGAGGGGGTCTGGCTGTCTGCTAGGAATCTTTCTGTGGGCGGAATCCTGCAAATTAGCTCCTCACTTTGTGGGTCCTTTCAAAGTGATCCAGAGGGCTAACCCCATATCCTATCAACTACTGCTCCCCCAGTCCATGCAGAGTCTATACTCTGTGTTTCCTTGTATGGATTTATGATTTCTGGACTTCCCTTGGATTCTGCCTGCATTTGTGTGGATTATTTATCTTGGATTAATAAAACTCTTGTAAATTGACCCTGGCTTTGTGTCTGCATTTGGCTTCACATTCATGGCACTTTTGGGTAGTCTAGTGGTATATCTCATGGTTTCTACACAGGGGGTCCTGGTTCAATTCCTACCCTGGACACCTCCTCCAAGAGGGCACCACATCAGGTTTTCTCACACATACAGGGCACTTCATCAAGTTTTTTTCTACTGGAGGGGCACCCAGGAGGGCAATTTTGGGGCATTTTTTAACAAACTGCCCCCCCCCATCCCAAAGCATGCCAGTGATGTGACTTATGAGGACTCTGGCTAGACCCTTACTCAAACTGCTGTGAAGCTAACAGCAGGCTTTTGGAAAGCTGCTGTGAATGTTTCCTCAGACACCCCTCTGAGCTTTATGACATCATATGACACCCTAATTATGACACCCCTCTGAGCTTTATGACATTATATGACACCCTAATTATGACACCCCTCTGAGCTTTATGACATCACATGATACCCTAATTATGACACCCCTCTGAGCTTTATGACATCATATGACACCCTAATTATGACACCCCTCTGAGCTTTATGACATCATATGACACCCTAATTATGACACTCCTCTGAGCTTTATGGCATCATATGACACCTGATTCTGACTCAAAAGAATCTGGAAATCAGCTCCAGCTACCATTGGAGATGCTTTATTATAAATGGGACAACCTATGAAGGACAGCCGATTTGAACCAAAAAGACAGAAAAAGAGCATCTGAAGTACAGCACATTTAATTACATTTTCAACATAAAATTGCATGCACCAAAGTGGTCACTGTAAGAGCTGCTGCATCACACACAAAGCTATGCACATAGTGAGATTTATGTGAAAACAAAAAAAAAAGGACACAGGATTTAACTTGGGTCTACAGCATATGTTTTACATGAGATGAACCCCTGTTTTGAAGTGTTCCTCTGTGTTGTACTAAATACTATGTACAAGGTTTACATGCTTTATGGCTGGCTCAGGTCCAGCAATGGTATCAGCCATGGGGTGACAGACTCTGGAGGGAGGAGTTCTGGGTCTATACTGAAATAAAGTCCCACTAGACCAGCACTGGCACCATTACAGCCCTACACACACACACACACACCACACACACACACACACACACATATATAAATATATATACATAGATATTACAGGCCTATAAGAGCAGAGAGACCCAGCCATTACAGCTCTATAAGAGCAGAGCCCCTCAGCAATTGTAGCACTATAAGAGCATGAACACATTTCCATTACAGTCCTATAAGAGCATGCATACACTTTAGATTACGTTACAGCGCTGCTCTCTCCAGTGTTCAGGTGAGGGATGACTAACGTTGAAATCTAAGCACTGTTTCCTCTTTCTCCACAAATGACAAACGAGGGCCAGTGTGGCCTGATGGCCCTCTGCTCACAGGCTGTGTACAGCTGGCATCGGAGCTCCCCTGGCACACAGACCCCATTCAGTCTCACCCTCCAGCAGCAGCCAGCTGAGCTCAAACATACAGCCCCCTCTCTCTGTTCCTCTCACAACACGGCATTCAGGGGAGGCCTCGAGACCTCTTTAATTCCTGGATGAGCTGAAAGCTGTCTGGGAATATGGTCCTTTATAATCGTGTGAGACTCTCTGTCCAGTGCACTGAGCTGAGTCTGCACTGCTCATCGCAAGATCTTCTCTGATACGCTAATGTTTTAGAATGAGACCAGTGTGCATATCTGTGTTTAAGACATTAGTCCATTCTGCATGGCCTTCTCTGGTGAGTCACCACAGATATTTTAGTGAAAAAGCCAAAGGGACTGTTTCTGCTTTACTCCCAAAGGAAATTGGTTATTTGAATATCATTCTAATCCAGATTATTTGGAACTGATTACCTTCGTATCTTGTACAAGAGTAAGGTCAGAAGTTCTCATTTTAAAAGCATAGCCCTACATTATATTACTGTACGCATAATCATGGCAGACGTCAGACATGTAAATGTTTGCTTATTTAGGGATGGGAAGTGAATGACTTGCAATGACGTTTAAGCATGAATATGGAATATGGAATGCTTTCGACAGCTGTCGCCATACAAAAAGCACTCTCCAAAAGAGTGCGGACTCTGATGGTGATATGCATTATCGGGTTTAAAATACTGTACAGTACTGCACTGCCAAAAGCTTAGCTACCAAAGCTAAGTGATCCTGCATTTTCCCGTCCTACAAGATAAATAGCGAATGGACAGCTTGGAGGAGTTTCCCTTCAATATGAAGAACAGTTTCATAATGCATGTTATGAATGGTTAATATTTTTAACCATTCAAAACATGCATTATGGAACTGAAGCAAAGTTTCATAATGCATGTTATGAATGGTTAATCACCGTTAATCCGTTAATCACGATTACTCCAGGGGGTCACAAGTGAGCTCACTGGTCAGTTTCATACAGGGTTACATTATATGACAATTTTCAATTGAACTACAATAATTTACCCATGCCAAAACTTTCGACATTTTTGTAGCATTTAAAAAACACACAACTGGAAAGAATATTTAATTACAGAACATCTCAATTGTTAAATACATAGAGAAATAAAATTCTGGATTGTGAATGATGGTTGAAAGAGAATGGGAAATATGGCACAGCAAATTAGTGTTTCCCTCTGTCTTTTACAAATACATGCTGCAGATTTCAAAGGCAGTGTGTATGAGGAAATAACGAAACTACTACTTACCACGTTGGTGAGGAAATCTGTGTCATTCAAATCATCGAGGTCCAAAAGGTGAGGATGGAGGAAAAGTTTCTCCGTGGTGAAATTGTCCAGTTTGGTGTCCATCGTCTTTTCTCTGTATTAGCTACCAGCAAAATTATTTCCTTTTCAAGTATTTTCAACGGGTATAGTCAGTTTCTAGAAATTATTGCAATTTGCGAGGATGTATTCGGTGTGAAGTCTTGTTTCGTTTCTTGTGATCTCGACGATAAAATATGCGTAAATGCAGAGCTAAACTTGCTTTTAAACGTAAGTTCGAACCTTTTTTCAATTTTCTGCGTTCCGTAGAAAAGTGCTACAGACTGTCTCTTAGGAACATAAGACGATACATATTCATGGTAGTACCTCCCTATGTTGCCTTAGTTCCTCCTATTTCCTTCCCTTACTTAGTGAGTGCATGAAGCCCCCAGCTGCAGATAGTTTAGCAATTTTAGATGCTTTTCATTTTTTAGACGCTTTTCCAGCTTCATTTTTAACTCATTATTGCAGTGGTTAAGGACCAGCCCCGAGCTGTCGTGGTAAGTGAGGAGGTGAGCATAATGTAACTCCAAAGCCCATATGTGTTAATGGTAATAAGGCTAATAGGTGGGTATACTGTCTGAGGAGGTGGGCGTATTGCAACTCCAATGCCCATATGTATTAATCTATTGGCTATGAGGCTAATAGATAAATATACTGTCTGAGGAGGTGAGCATGCTGTAACATGGGTTCACAAAAGGTGACCAGCAGGAGATGCAGCCAATCAAATTTTCCCAGACAACAAATATTGCCCACTTTCAACATAAAGATGCAGAGGTGATATTGCCCAGTAACGTTTCACGGTTGGTGTCAAATTGAAAATTCTCTTTCTGCTTCATTTTATTGCCTCTATACGTGTTTCAGCTAGCATTTTAAACATGTAGGAAGAAATGCTGTTGGTTCTGGATTTTTCCTGAGCAGCACAGCTCTCCAGTCTACCTGTAAAATAAGAGTGCAGCAGCAAAAGAGATCACGGTAAATATAAACGTGAGGGACAGTGTAAATAAAACAATAAGGTTTTCATTGTACGGCACCTTGTAACTCTGGTTTCGAAAGACACTTTATAAATAAAGTTTTGCTTATTTACTGACTTACTTATAATGCCCAGCCCTATCAGAGTTTAGCCCTAAAGAGACCACTGTAATATAAGGAGCAGTACCTGAGCACTGGGTAACTTTCTGATCCTGTCAAATGGGTGGACAAATGGGTGCCACAAAACAATACACAGCAGCACTGCCATGGCAATGACTGGTTTACACTGTGCAGATCCTGATTGGGCCTACAACTGTAACAGATGGGATTATATGCACTGTGCTGAAGCAGAATGTGCTTGTGTTTTACTGTATTTTGCAGTCTGAAGTCTAAGGTACATAACCCTGAGGTTAGTGGTTCAAGCCCCAGGCTAGCCACAGCAAGAACACCATTGTTAGAATATTTTGTCACTTTCCGTGGACTGAAACTCAGGTCATTGAAAAACATACTAATGACTTCCCTTACAAGAATGATGATTTATTACAATGCGCAAGGGAAAGACATCCTCAGAACATTCTGGCTGTCTGTGCCGAGAACATCTATGAAACCGGAGTGTGTGTTGTGTTCATATATAGATTGTGGTCATACAGATGAAAGACTTGAGAAAGCTGGTGGCTGGGTACAACTGGTGTCAGCCCTCTGTGGGAACCACAAGTGGGCCACTTGCAGGGGTATGCAAGAGAGACAGCAGACACTACAGAAATGCAAACGTTTGGTTGATGGCTGGAGCTGGCTAGGCCAAAGGTAGAGGTGTCACAAAGTAGGAATACAGAATAAAACACATTTCTGTCACCTACAGGCAGAGTTAAATAATATAATAAAACCTTTAAACTGTCAACCCTTAACCCCACATTGCTCCAGGGGGCATTGGCCCTTGGTTAATTAACTATAAGTCGGTTTGGATAAATACGTCAGCTAAATGACTGTAATGACGATGGCACACTCTAAACAGCATGTGAGTCCCTGCTGGGGTCACAGGGTCAGCTGAGGGCGGGCCAGGCTACTGCTTCACTCTGACCCACCCAAAGGGACTGCTCACTACAGCATTTTCACTGGCCAAAATATACGTCAGAGAGGACAATGTGTGGCTGCAAGGTTTGTTCTTTTCTTATGTCTGAAAAGGCATGGTTTTTAATTACTTATGGGCTAGATTGTATTTAAAATATAAGAGAGATGAAAAAGGATTTATCTAGTTTAGGCGTGACACACCAGCCTTCTGCTTCAATAGAAGTGTGGTGTTATGATTAGACTTGTGCTTGTCACAAAAATGCAGCAAGTTCAAATCCCACATGGCCATAATCTTTTGTGAATATTTCCAGG